ATTTCTTTTACTGAGTGCAAGTTCTGTATATTTAATTCTTTTTGCTTTATATTGTCTTAATTCTATATGTATTGCTGTTATTTGTTCTTCTGCTTGTTCTGCTATTGTAGATTTAGTTTTAGCATTTTCTATTGTTTCTTGTTTCACATGACTAATTTGTTGTTTTGTTTGTATATCTCCTTTGTTTTTGTCCGTTACGTGTTTTTTAACATGTTTTCTTTGTTTATTCTTCATTACATGTTGTGTATCTTGTGTGACAGTAACTGATCTGCATTATAGAGTCAAGGTAGAGTGCCGAGCATGCCACTGCTAGTCATGCCACCATGGCATGTTAAGTCATAGCATGCTACTGGCATACCAAAAATGCTTCAAATATGCCTAGCATGCCACTTATAATAAATATAATTTTTTTTATATAATATTATTAAAATTCTGTTTAATTATAAGTTGTAAAGATATTATCGCAGATAAAACTAACTAAAATAATACATATCACCATCTACAATTGTTTATTTATCATTTAAACATTATTGCTATAGAAATCTTGTTTTATCAAGTAGTTACTGAGTCACAATTTACAATTATAAGATCAAAATTGACCTAATTATTTCTTCTGAATTCTAATCAAACAGTTCTTTCTGAAGAAGAAAATACTAAATTAAATATTCAATGATGAGATGCTTAGGAATGCGTGAGAAGGTGGAATTATAAATTAATGGTTTATTATTTAAATTAGGCGTGTGATCATTATGCAAATACTATTAATTTATGCAAGTATTATGGGTTTACATCTTGAACAATTTAAGTGTATATATGAAAATCAAGAGATTATTAATTTTAGCAATAAACAGGATCATACTATCAAATGTTAATTTTTTTTCTTGAGAAAAATGCAAGTTAGTCCTTTTGTCTTGTTGGTTATTCTTTAGAATAATCAGTCTTACATTATTTGAAAATGAGATCTATAAAATTAGATCGGGCAATGCTATACAAAAATAAAGTAATTGATTTATCAAAATAACAAACAAAAATTTCACATAGTACCCTTAGTAGACAACCCATTTGCATTATAGAACGCCAGGGATCTCTTGCAATACAGGTGGCACTATTAATAAAATATATTATTAATTAATTGATTTAGAATAGGTATCACCTATATTACAAGAGATCCGATGCGAGTTCCTGAAGAACATACAGTATATTAATAGAAACATTATAATCTCATCTGTAAAGTAGGTAAATTTACCTGCTAAATAAATAGTATGTGAAAATGCAAACAGAGAGATAATGATTCATATAAGTAATATCAAGAAAACTTGTAAATCAAACGTTGTCTTTAATCATAGTATCTTGATATCTAATAACTCTATTAAGTGCAAAACTAAAAATGCTGATTTACAGGTTTTCACTTGCGTCAATAATGCTTTTGAAATTGAACCACACATATTATAATGACAAAAGAAAATATATAACTTAAGAAAAACCTCCTTCAAATATTTCTTTCGTAAAGACCTTACCTACAAATAAATTAGTTATAAGATACTAAAAAAAAAATCATAATGCAATCCCAACCTCCTACAGGCTTTGCTCTTCCTGATATGACAACTCATGATAGCCGATAGACTGGGTTTTGACATTCTGAAGAAAAAGTCAGAGGCAATAGATATAAAGCCAAATGCTTCTATTGTAATTTAAAAATATCTGGCAGGCCTGAAAGGCTTTATAATCATATTCTTTAATGCGATTGTTGGTCTGCTGATAATAAATCTGACTACATTAAAAAAGTTACTAGTTCTAATTCTCAAAAAAAATTCAAAACTAGTTCTATTTCTGATCAGGAGCAGTCAACATATATAATTGCAAATACTGTTGATACTGTCTAGTTGTATACTATCCGTCAAAGATATTTTTGCATATAGATAGCATATGCACTTAAATTATATGAACCATTTTTGTGTTAATAATTAAAATCAAAAATTTTTGAATACATGTTATTTCGCTAACAATCAAGTCACCAGCATCTTATTTAACTGACAATTAATTTGCTGACATGCTTATTTTACAGACAGCTCATTTTACCGACAAGTTTGTTTAAAAATTACACTAACCTTAACTTTAATTCTAAACCTTACCCTAGCAACAATGGCTAGAATTACTTGGTTGATAAAATGAAATAATTGTCTGTATAAATATATTGGCAAATTGATAGTTAGTAAAATAGCATATCAGTCAGAAAAATGCATACCACTAAAATTTTTTATAGATTTGAAAAATATATAATTAGACAGTATCAATTGTATTATTAAATCAAAATATTTTAGCTTATCTAATAAAATTATACTGCCATTATTAATAGCTCACCCTCTTCAGGAATAAAATGTCAAGAAAACTTGATAAACTAGGTTGTTAAACCGATGTTGCAAGATAAACGAGTAGAAGTTAACAAAAAATCACTTGATGCTATTATTTATGATAACATTTCCTTTAGGTTTATTGAGAATCTTTATTTTCTTAAATTCCTTAATGAGTTGGCACCAGGTTATGATTCACCTTCTGCTGAATCATTAAGAATCAACGTTTTTAATAATTCATTTTTAATCTACTTGGATAATAAGCTCAAATTAATGAAGTTACTTATAGACATTACTATTGCTTTGGACAGATGGCAAGACATATTCAGAAACTCAGTTTATAGTTTTATGGTCTTAAAAGGGGATAAGGAGTATGTTTTAGACATTGTTGATTTGTCATCAAGTCGGCATACAGCAATATTTCTTAAGAAGCAGCTAGAGAAAGTTCTCAAATCAAATTTAGTTACTACTGATTCTATTATTGTATGTGTGACTGATAACCCTTCAGTTATGATCAAAATAAAGAATAACTTTAAAGATGAACATCTGAACATTATTTCTATTCAGTGTTGTCTTCATTCCTTTAATTTGCTTGCAAAAAATATTTCTGGTTTTCTACCTTTAGTTTCAATTATTAAAAATAATCAAAAACTCGTAAATTTTTTCACGTTCTCTCATATTTGGTTCCGAGCATTACAAGATTGGGGAAAAAAAGAAGGGTTAAACCATACACTTACATCATTTTGTGAAACCAGGTGGTACTCTCTTGCAAAAGTCTGCCTCAAAATAAAAGCATATAAAAGAGGGTTTCAACATTGTATTGCACTTAATAAAACTAATAATTATTCTACAATTAAAAAAGAAATTCAAGATATAGTTAGCAATCGTCATCATTTTGCCCATAACGACACATTAGTAACAGTACTTATTCCTATTGTAAATGCTATTGGTCGACTTGAATTGAGAGATGCTACATTAGTCGATATCTTTACAGAGTTAATAAATATTTATCATACTATTTTATCTTTAGATATTCCAATATTTGAGCTTCAAAATCATGCCTTGAGTGCTATTGATAAGTGTGCTCGTGAGTTCTCTGATAGCATTTATTTCATTGCTCTTTTTTTGTCGCCTAAATACAAAAATATAGCAATTTCAAAAAAAATGTCTGGAAATACAATTATTAGAGCTATATTGGAATTAGCAAAAACCTGAGGTTTTGATAAGAAAGATGCAACCTTTTTATATCAAGAACTTATAAATTACAAAAATGATAAATTTGTTTAGAATGCTAATCCAAGGGTTTTTTGGACGCAATTTCATGGAGGCTTTCTACTACTTCGACGATTTGCAATGAAGATCTTTGCAATTGTTCCACATGCAGCAGCTGTCGAGCATCTGTTCTCTAGTTTAGATTTGGTAAAAACAAAGTTAAGAAATAGAATATCTTCTGCTCAAATGGAAATGATCGGAATGCTCTATCATGATCTTCAACAAAGAGTGTTTGAAATATTAAAAAAAAAAATTAAACAGAAAAGTCAAGAATCATCAACTTTTAGTAATATAAATTTGGAAGATATCAGTATTGACATTCTTTTTGAAGAATTCGATGGAGATGAAGTTTTACAAATTGATGTTAAGTTACTGGAAGATATTAATATGGATAATAATGATCTAGTAATAGTGGAATTTTTCGATATTAGAACCTTTGAAGAACAAACTAAAACTGAAGAAGGTTTCCATCCCCAAAAAAATACTGTCATCAATACAGATTGGTCAATTGATGATATCTTTCGGCTTTAGTACATTAATTATCAAAATCAGTGGACATATATTGCCTAACAGATTGTATCAGGTTGAATATTGTTATTATTCAGGGATTGGGTGTTAAAATTGATAAGTAAAAGGCATTATTCGTATTAAATAGTAAATTTTAAAGGAGTCAAAATCAAAAGAAAAAAATGTAAAAAAAAAAGAAAAAATATAAAAAAAAAAAAAAAAAAAAAATATAAAAAAAAAAAAAAGAAAAAATGTAAAAAAAGAAAAAAAAGTTCTGTATTAGTTATTCTGTAAGTAATTTGAAATCACAAAATGATCCGTTTTGTCTGCAAGTTTTTTAATAAACTTATTTGATCTTTATTTGACCTATTTAAAGTGAGCTTTTAATTGTTAAATTTACTTTTATGCTATTACAAGGTTGTAGCCTTTTTAGTAATATACAACTAAGTAACAAGGTCACCCAGTGCAGTGATTAACTCTTGCAAATATACACAGAGTGGATGTGTAGTTGTTTACTTAACTACACAGCAGGAGGCAAACGGTTCGAGATAGTAACAGTATATAGAATAATTTTATTTATACAAGAACACAGGATAAACCTTGCCTGTAGGAATTACACTAGAGAGGGAATATCATATTTACAAGAAGGGTATAAAGAGAACAGAGTTTAAGTGAAGTATAGAAACTTATAGAATTGGCAGAGAGGGGAAAAGACACCCTTTATATATCTTTTTACCCATAGAGAGGA